GAGCATAAAGGGCTGGGCTGGGGAAGGGGGCTGGTCCTGTTCTGTGGGGCTCTGGAGGACCCCACCTGCACCACTGGACAGGGGCCAACCAGCAGGCCCTAACTCCGCTCAGCTTTCTCACCTGTAAAATGCGCACAGCCACCTCAAACAAGGGTGATTAAATGGGATGAATACATCAAGCACCCACCTAATACATGATAGTGAATATTACGTTACAGCGTTGATGGCTTTTGTTCTAGCATGGAACTGGCATGGGACCCTCGATTCTAGGCCCAGTACAGGGCTAGTGTCTATGATTCTGTATGACTCTCCTTCCTAAGACTCAGATCTCTCCACAAGCCTCACTCTCCTTCTGACAACACCTGCCCGGATGCACCTCACCAAGCAGGTGCCCGGCAGAACATCAGCTCCCTCGTTTCGCCCCGGCCTCTGTGCGCCAAATGCTCACAAGGCTAAGGAGTACCTGCCAGGCACCTGGGGCCTGGAGGGAGGGCATGGCAGAGCCCCAGAACAGAATGCTCATGTACCCCGGCACCTAGGGTCATATGGTACCTGCTCCACCATGCAGGGTGGCTGTCAACAACCCGGGGGAGGGGGACAAGGCTGGCTATGTCTGGAGCCAGTGTCAGCCACACCTACCCCCATCCACCTGCTGGATGGCTCCCACCCAGAAGCTGCTGCATTCCTTCGAGGGACCAGGACAAGGGGGTGCTGGTATAGCCAGCTCTTGCCCCTGTACCTGTCCCTTACTGAACAAGTCTCCCTGAGGCTCCCTAAGCCTGTTTCCGCATCTGTGAAATGGGGCCAAAATACTACTACCTCCCTCCCAGGCTGGTGTGGTCCAAGCTAATTAGCAGGAGCACCTGCCCATGGATAGGTGCTCAGGGAAGCCCAGCTTCATCTCCTTCCTGGGCACAGGCATCCAGGATGAGGGTATTGAGAGGGTGGGTGAAGGTTAAGTTCTCATTCACTGAGCATCTCACTCTGTGCAGGGCACGGGACCTGGCACTTTGTTCTAAAACATGTCATTCGATCCTCAGCTCCCACAGAAACGTCAACTCTGAGATTGGGGAAGCCAAGGCACAGGTAAGAGGGGTTAAGGCAGGACATCAGGGCTGTGCTCAGTGCCCAGGCAGGCAGACATGAGGAACAGAAACCCAGGCAGTCACCTCCTACTGGTGCACTGGTTACTTCACCCATGCGTGCCTCAGTCTCCTCATCTGTAAAATGGGACTAACGGAATGTACCTTCGGGGGTTGCGATGAGGATCCGAGGGTGTGACGTCTAAAGCATTTAGCACAACGCCCGGCACACAGCCTGTGTTCAAGTAATGGTGACTCTTACTATTTCCTACGCCGCCTCTAGACAGAGGACCTACAGGAACTGTGATAACGAATGTGTTGGTTGGGGAATTAATGAAAATGAAGGCGTGACTCTGTGAAGAGTGTGGGTCTGCACCCTGCTGCTTCCTCTTGCCCCCCAGGAGCTCCAGGTCTGCCTGGCGACCGGGGCACTGGTGGCCCCTCATTTCCTTAGCGTGCACGCCCCACTGGCGGCACCGCGGCGGCAGGGACATCCAGCCTCAAATGGTTCATGCTCCAGCCCAGGCCTGCGGCTGGGCCCCCGGCCACAGCAGGGAAATGAAGAGGCTCCTGGGGACTTACTACAGTGACCATGCAAAGAGGCCTCGGGCACCCGGGTGGGCACTGGGCCTTTGGGAGCCACCAGCCCCAAGCCTGGGGGACAAGGGAAGGCAGACAAAACGGAGTGAACGATAGCTTTGAGCCACCTCCTCACCTCGTTCAGTGGAGTCAGAGGCACCAGGATAAAATGACACTGGTAGAGGCATAGCTCCTGGGAGGCATAGGTCCCTGGGAGTCGGGGACCTGATGGAGCAGGTGGCAAGGACCATGGGCTGTGGCACCCATAGCCCTGGGTTCTAACCCGGCCCTTTACTAACCAGCTATGTGACCTTGGGCTCGTCATTCTACCTCTGACCTCCATAGCCCTTCCATAGAATGCTGTAATAGTTACCTAGGTCAGTGTCAAGGCTCTGAGACTAGGTAGGTAAAACACTACCAGTCATCAGCCAACTCTGCGGCTGTCTCAGTGTGACCTTGAATAAGTCACTCCATTCAGCAATGTTAACGAGGCCGATGTATCCCCCGATGACAAAAGGCAGTTGCCTCCCTTCCCTTCCGTGAGCTCCAGCCAGAGCACTCTGGGGGCTGCCCTTTGTCCCTGACTCAAGCCCCCTTTGGCACAAATCAGTAGCAGCCCCTGGGTGAGCCAGGGTAGGGGTTCTGCCCGGGGTTGAGTCCCCTCCCCTCCCCACAGCTCTGAGAGCCTCCAGCCAACAGCCCTAACCAATGGACCCTTGGACAGGGTGGCGTCTGTGTGGTTCAGGACCCGCTCTGTTTACATTATCTGTGGGTGGAGACAGGTCAGGACACACGTGTCTTCCCCTCCAAGTCAGCTGGCCCAGGTGGTTTTAGATCCACGGATTCCAGGCTCAAGCTAACTGGCCACGGTTGCTCCCTGCCATGTCACCTGGCCAACTGAGCCGATTTTGCGAGCCACGTGTGGACATCTGGGTGGAAGAGAGAGAATGGGTTTTGGAATCAGACAGACCTGGGTTTCCACCCCACTGATAGCATACCCTCGGCAAGTCCCTTCACCTTTCTACATCCCAGTACCTTCATCTGCAAAATGGGAGCACAGCAGCACTTCCTAAGACTTGTGAGTGAAAAAAACATATGCGTAGTCTTTGGCACGTGTATGACTCAGGGTTCCGAAGAGAAGCAGAACCTCTATGAGGCATAGAGAGACAGACACAGGGAGAGAGATGTATTGTAAGGGAGTAGCTCACGTGATCACGGAGGCTGGTAAGTTCAGAATTTGCAGTGCCGGCCAGCAGGCCAGAGACGCAGGAAGTTGCAGTTGAGTCCAAAGGCAGCCACTGGCAGAATTCCTTCTTGCTTGGGGGAGACCAGTCTGTGTTCTGTTAAGGCCTTCAACTGATTGGATATGGCCCACTCACATTGTAGAGGGGAATCTGCTTTCCTCAAAGTCCACTGATTTAAATGTTAATCTCATCCAAAAAAACACCTCCATGGAGACATCCAGAATAATGCTTAAGTAGATATCTTGGGCACCATAGCCCAGCCAAGTTGACCCATAAACTTAACTATCACAGCACATAACAGTGGTTGTTATAACAATGGATAAATGGGTTACATTGTTGAATCATTAATTACCTATCTAGCATTGCTCTGAGCACTTATATGAATTAACTCATTGAATTTTCAAGACAACCTGCGTGCACGTGAGTGCACACACGTGTGTGTGTGTGTGTGGTTATTTCCATCTAAGACATGAAGAGACAGAGGGTCAGAGAGATTGCACAACTTTTTGGAGCTGGGATTTGAACCCAGGTCCTCCGGCGCCAGAGTTCCTGCCACCCACAGCAGGGATTCCCACCATCAGTGCTCACCCTTCCTTCCATCACACCAAGGGCACTGCCCTCCTGACACCTAATGACACACTGGCAACTCCGTCGGATGTAGAAGGTGACCAGTCCCCACCAACCCCACCAGAAAGACCACCAACTTGGTTAAGTAAGAGGCATTTTATTAGGTGGCATCAGGCAGATCCTACTGCCACCTCACAGTGTAGAACCCGTGGAATCAGGAACACCTCCAGCCCCCCGCCGCCTGACCTGGCGCCTTGTGGGGAACCACCCGGGCAGCATCAGGACCCACCCCTGACTGGGGGCCAAGGTGTGTGACCGTGCACTTGGGGAACGGCCACTCCAGCCCCGCAGGGGCCCCGTGCCAGCTGTGCTTGAGGAGGGTCCAGCCGTTTCGGGGCCCCCTAAAAACTGTCCTCCGAAGCCACCACTTCTCACTCCCTGGCCACCCAGAATCTACTCAGGATGCATTTGCAAGTGTCCACTGATTGGCTGCGTCAAGGAACAGGCCTCCTAGGGGCCAGTCCACACAGAGCCACTAACATGAAAAGGAGGGATGATTCTAGAGGCAAGCCTCAGCCCGGGCTGGACAGGGACCCAAGGAGAGGTCTCAGGGTGCTGGGGAAGGTGGGAGCAACATGTACCCGGGCCTGTTCAACCAGAGCCAGTGAGTGCTGAGCTCCTGCAGGAAACCCCAGGCTCTAGAGGCAGGACCCGAGAGCTAAGGGCAGCAGCAGGAAGGGCCCCCCAAAGTCTGCCAATCTCACAGCCCAAACAGGAAGGACCAGCACATCCCACATCTTGGCAGGTGGCCTGCTACAGTCCCCCCAGACCCCCAAACGGAGATAGCCAGGAATCCGTGGGTCTCAGGTGAGCTCAGGCACTCTAGAGCAAGGCACACGGGGTCTAAGGCATTTGGTTGTGCACAGGTACCTGCTGGTACAGGCGCATCTGGGCAAGGAGCTAGTGAGCCGCCCGGACTAAAGAGGGCAAGGCCGGCTGGTGCCCCCATGCCCTGCAGCCACGACTTGCCAGCCCCATAGGCCACTGTGGCCACACGTAACCCTGGACACCCGGAGAAGCCGGGGCCAAGGCCTGGAGCCTCTGTGGGTGGTGAGGTTTGCCAGGGGCCCCCGAGCTGCCTCCTTTTCCTCCACGGATCCGTGAGCTATTCTACCACCATTCCTCAGGTCCCTGAGCCACTGGGCCACAGTGTACAGGAAAGGGAAGGAGACAGATGGAGAACCAGCCGGGCACCAAGGTCACACCTACCAGATGGAATTTCTAGGACAGCCGATGGGGTCAAGGGTGGCGGCCCTGTTCTCCCCACAGCGTAATCTCAAACCAGAGCCCGGCATCTGACTCCAAGGATGGGACAGGCCAGGCCAGTGGGGGGCAGGCGCCAGGCCTCGGCCCTAGAAAGAGGGTCGTCCCGTGGGGAGTGGGATGGAGGGCGTGGGGTGGGGTCAGTGCACTGAGGTCAGTCGTTTGGACAGACAGACGGGTGGACGGTGGAGACACCGAGCGGGGCTCACTGCATGTACGGGTAGCGCCAATCCCCCAGAGGCTTGTGGGTCTCCTTGATGACCTGGGGTGACGTCCACCGCAGGATGTAGTGGGGCCCTCCTGGCTTGTCATTAGTCCCTGTGGAAAAGACAGCTCTGTTTATCTCCAAAAAGATACAACGGCTCTGGGCAGAGGGAAAAGGAGTGGGGAGGAGGAATAAATGGGGCATCAGCACAGGCACCAAACTGCCAAACTAACCCTAACACAGTCACAGCAGCCAGGGTTTCCCGAGCACATCTGTGCGGAGGGCACTCAGCCGGAGGTCAGGCAAGGCAGGAGCTGGCGAGCAGGCAGGACGCCCACGCTCCCCAGGTTCCTGCACCCCACCTGCAAGAGGCGTCTGGGAGGCAGGGGGGCACCGTAGAGGGCACTGGACTGGGAGTCGGGAGACCTGGTTTCCGGCCCTTGGGAACTCTGGCAAGTCCCTGCCCCTCGTCGACCCTCAGTTTCCCTATTTGTAAACAGGAGGGGGATGGACTTCGGTAGCCTGGAGTATGACAGTAAAAGGTGTGGGCACTGGGACCCAAATCCCGGCTCCACCACTCTCTAGCCATGTGCCCTTAGGCAAGTCACTTCACTTCCCTGGGCCTCAGTTTTCCCCTCCATAAAATGGGAAGAAAAATGGCAGCACCTGAGCTTAGGAGGCTGTTGGCAGGACTGAGTTAGCACAGGGCCCGGCCCACAGTGCCCAGTAAATGGTGCTACTGCTGTTCCTCTTAACACCCTTGAGATGAAGGACCGAGGGTCTCCCGCCGGGAACTCGGCCCCCCTCTGGAAAGGGGGCCCCACTCACCAGAGGTTCGGGCCCCCCCGAAGGGCTGCTGGCCCACCACTGAGCCAGTGGACTTGTCGTTGATGTAGAAGTTGCCGGCAGCGTTCCTCAGCACCTCTGTGGCCTCCCGGACAACATCCCTACAAGGCAGGGCAGCGGTAAGAGCGCGGCCAGCTCACCCTTGTTCCAGACCCAGGGCCAACCTCCAACACCCCCGTCCCAGCCCACATGGGCCACCCTGGTGAGCATGAGGCCAGCCGCCAGCTATGGGCCCCCTTGACAGGCTCCCAGGAGTCTCTGAGCCTCAGCTTCCTCCTCTGAAAAGGGGGTTAGCACGCCTCCCTCGCAGGGCATCTGTGAGGGCTGGATGAGGGTCAGGCTGTACATACTCGAGGGAGTGGCCCATCTCGGTCCAATTTTCCTGCCTTTGGGAGCTGGGGAACCTTCAGACCCCCAGCCTGCCCCTCAAGTTCCAATCCCGCCTCCACTCCTTTTTTTTTTTTTAACAATTAAATGTTTTCCTTTTTCTTTTTTTTTTTTTTAATTTATTTTATTTATTTGTTTTTGGCTGCGCTGGGTCTTCATTGCTGTGTGTGGGCTTTCTCTAGTTGCGTCGAGCCAGGGCTACTCTTCGTTGCGGTGCGCAGGCTTCTCACCACGGTGGCTTCTCTTGCTGTGGAGCACAGGCTCTAGGCGCGGGCTCAGTAGTTGTGGCACACGGGCTCAGTAGTTGTGGCTCGCGGGCTCTAGAGCTCAGGCTCAGTAGTCGTGGCACACGGGCTTAGCTGCTCCGCGGCATGTGGGATCTTCCCGGACCAGGGCTTGAACCTGTGTCCCTCGCATTGGTGGGCAGATTCTTAACCACTGCGCCACCAGGGGAGCCCCCGCCTCCACTCTTAAAGGCAGACACGGGGAGACAAGCAGCACCACGGGGAAAGGAAAGGGCAAAGCCTCACGTTTAGTGTCCCGGTGCTCAAGTTGGAATCCTGCCTCTGCCAGACAAGCAGTGCACCTGGGCCCGAGCCTCTGTCGCCCACTCTGCAGCCCCATCAGACCTGGGGAGCAGGTCAAAGGCACTGATTCCCCAGCCCCACCCCTAGATACCTACATTCAGCAGCCAAGAGTGGGGCCCTGGAATTTTCATTTTAACAAAGAGCCCACTGCCTGTGTCTACTTGCCGGTCAGGGCAGAGGTCAGGAGAATGGAGAGAAGCAAGGGCAGCATTATTACTAGGATCAGTGCCCAGGAGGGCAGTCTCCGGGGACAGCAGGATCCTGTAGGGACAGGACACCGGGACTAGAGTGGAGGGGCTGTGGCCACTCACTTATCCTGGGCAAATACTGCCCCCGTGAGGCCATAGCTCGTGGTGTTGTCGACCAGCCTCAGCGTCTCTTTGTACTTGTCATCTGGGTAGACGTACACGGTCAGCACAGGCCCGAAGATCTCCTGGGAGAGAAGCCCCAGGGTCAGGCTCCACCTGGACCAACACCCCGAGGCCTCCTGTTTCCCTGCTCTGGCCTCCGCTTCTCCCCATCCCCCTCCTCAGCCCCTGCAGGAAGGGCCAGGCGCTGCCTCCCGCTGGGTTCCCTCGGGGTTGGCTTCCACCTGGCCCACCCTACCCCAACCTGGCAGAAGATCCAAGGAGTCTCTGGCCTCCCTGCCAGCCAGACCCACACCCAGAGCCAAGAGCCCAGGCCCTTGGAAAGGAGAGACTTCTGGCAACAGCCGGCCCAGGAATTGCCCGATGGTATCACCGTCCTCTCTGCCATCGAGGGGCTGGGGGAAGACCCCCACCCCTGCACTGTCCTCCTGGGCAAGTGCCCTGACCTCTCGGAGACTCAGTTTCTCATCTGTAAAATGGGAACGATATGCCCACCTCATCTCTGTCAAATGCCCGGCCCACAGTTAAGAGTCTACAAGTGTCAGCCACTGAGACGGCCGCAGGGGCCTCAGTGGCTGTGGACAGCGCAAGTGCCATGACACCAGCCCAGACGGGTCAGCAGTGTCGAAGACAGAGCACTGGATTTGGGGTCAGGAGGCCTGAGTTCAGGGCCTGGCTCTGCTCTCACCGGGTGTGAGACGGTCCCCTCGCAGGGCCTCGCTTTCCACGTCTATGAGATGGGATGACGCCCCGTGAAGCACCAGGGCCCTGTGCATGTGCCATGCTCGGGGGAGAGGCTGCCTCCTCCCGGCCCCGGGCCGCCTGCCCCATCACCTCCTTCATGATGGGATCCTGGGGGTCCTTGCTCTCGATGATGCAGGGCTCCACATAGTAGCCGACGGAGTCGTCACACTGGCCCCCGGCCAGGACGGTGAGGCTGGGCGAGGAATGGGCGTGCTCCAGCCACTTCCTGATGCGGCTGAAGGACTGGGGGGGTGGGATGGGGTAGGGGGCATCAAGGGCTGGCTGGAGGCCATTCCCAGCAGCAGCCCCCTGACACTCACCTCAAACACCTGCCCCTGAAGGGCCCAAATTCTGAAGTGGGAAGAGTGGGGGGAGGGGGCCCTGACAGCAAAAGTCGGGGCCTGGCTGAACCAGGGCAGAGACAAGGGCAGATGTGCACACTTGTGTGTGTGTGTGTGTGTGTGTGTGTGTGTATGTGTGTGTTACAACTATAAACATCACAAGCACACATATACGGGTATGGCCATGAATTTTTAGGTTTACGTACGTAGGCACACATATGCCTGCATTATATGGATGTGTTTGTTATGGGTATGTTTGTGCGTACAGACCCACAAGTGTGCCTATATACACATATGAACCTGTACACGAATGTTTCTGTGTAGGATATGTGTGCATGCGGGTGTGCGTGTGTACATGGGTGAATCTACAGGCATGCTCCCACTCAGAGATCTAAATGAACGTGTTCGCGGCTGTGCATGTACGTGTGCGTTCGGGTTGATGCACGCGGCGTGCAGGCCTATTTGTATGTGTGCGTGTGAACACAGGCACTTGAAGGGGTCTTGTCGAGCCTGGGGCAGGGTGTGCGGGAGGCGAGTTGCCCTCTGGGTACGGATGCCTCCACCCTTTTCAGAGCTGGCAGGGGTTGTGCGGCTGTATGCGTGGCTATCAGGCTGCCCTGCTCGAAGCAGCAGGTCTGGGTCTCCCCTATAACTGTTCCTACCCCTCCCACCCAGTCCAGGCATGGGACCCCGGGAACGGCCTGCTTCCTGCTCATACCTTGGCATCGATCACGGCGGAAAAGAAGCTCCCAAAATCCTCTGCAGGCTGAAAGCAAGGGAGACATGGGAGGCGACAGAGTCGGAGACAAAGGGAGCGCTCTCCCCACACCACCACCCCCAGCCTCCAATCCCATCAGCCCCCCGCTGGGCCGTGGCGGGGAGGCCGGCGCCACTCACGTTGCCCACTTTGATCCTGCTGCGCTCCTCCAGCAGCCGCCCTTTGATCTGCGACCACAGCGAGCGGGGCACGTAGAGGCGGGAGCAGGCCGAGCACTTCTGGCCGCCGTACTCGAAGGCCGAGCGCAGGGTCCCGCTCACCACGCTGTCCACGTCGGCCGAGCGGTGTACAAAGTGGAAGTTCTTCCCGCCACACTCTTCGGGGTGGGGGCGGGGCGGCGGAGGAGCATGAGGAGGGGGCGGGCTCCCCAGGCCAGCGAGGGGCCCGGCGCGCCGCCCACACCCATCCGCAGGGCCCTGCACCAGCGCCAGTACTGGCAGGACAAGGGCACGAGGAGGCAGAGTCGGAGCCCGACAACCTCCCAGAAACTGACCAGCCAGGCCTGTCCTCCCACCCTACAGATGAGAAAACGGAGGCCCAGGCAAGGGCGAAGGGCACCAGGGGGCATCAGGACCAGCTCCCCCATCTCACAGATGAGAAAACTGAGCCCTGGGGCTGCTGCCCAACAGAAAGGCAGAGGAAGGACCAGAACCCAAGGCTCCCCAAAGCTGGTCTACTCCCTGCAGTGGGCGCGGCTTCCTTTGAGCCTTCCCGACCCCCACCCAGCGAGAGGAGAGGGGGCCACCCCAGGTCCACGGCCAGGGCTGGCCCCTCTTCCTGATCCACGGTGGGGACACCCCTCCTCGATCTCCTTGGCATGAGGGAGCCTCGGCAGATCACTCCACCCTCGGGGCCTCGGTTTCCTCACTCGGTTAAACATCAGCTAATAGCAGCTCACGTTACAAAGCACTAACTGCCAGACTCAGGTCAAAGCACTTCGAGCTCCGTCTCACTGAAGCCTCACAGCAACCTCCCATTATTATCCCATTTTAAAGACAAGAAAACTGAGGCACAGAGAGATTAAAGTCTCATACTCAAAGGGGGAAGCGGTAGAGTGAGTAGCGGTCTCTCTCCCTCAGGGAGATGGTGGGAAGGAGACAGAATAGGAAACCATGGACAGCTCACACAAGGGACTCACTGTCCCCCATCTCGTGAAGGCTGGACTGGGGCACACTGGGGAACTGGAAATTGGAGATGCAACAGCTGGCCCTGAGGAGGGTCACCTGCCCTGACACCCCCATCACAGCTCCCACCAGCTTAAGAGGCAAACTATTATATATAGGATGGATAAACAACAAGGTCCTACTGTATAGCACAAGGAACTAGACTCAATATCCTGTGATAAATCATGGAAAAGAATATGAAAAAGAATATATATACATGTATAAGTGAATCACTTTGCTGCACAGTGGAAATTCACCCAGTATTATAAAATCAACTATGCTTCAATAAAATTTTACAAAGCTCCCACCCACTCAGGCGTGGGGTCCAGTCTCCCTGTGACCCCCAACTTCACCCCCAGGAGCAAGAATGCTGAACCACCAGCTCCAGCTCTGCCATTACTGCACTGTGAGCCTGGACAGCCCTCCCTCTCGAGAGGTCTCAGCATCTTCCCGGAGTGTGTTCCATGAAAAACATGGTCCAGGGGGTCCTCTGTCAAAACAGGGTTGTATAGTCCAAAGAGTTTGGGAAACACTGCACATCAGCCTTTGCTCTTGAAGATAAGCAATGCATATATTAGTGCATTAAAGGCTCTGAGAAGTCCTGCATGTGAGGAATCCGTTTTACTTTAAACACCGTGCACGCCAAATGTCCTTGACCATGAAACTGTTTCTTTGTGGGAAAATTATTATTTTGACAAGACCTGGCCCTGCTGACCTCTCAGCCCCATCTCCTGCCACCCGCCCTCCCTCCCTTCCCCAGCTACACTGGCCTTGTTTCTTCAAACACAAGCTCATTCCCACCTCATGGCCTCTGCATTTGTCATTTCCTTGGCCTAGATATGGGCTGTGAAACAGGGTAGCCACCAGCCACACGTGGCTATTTAAATTCAAATTAATTAAAATTAAATGAAACAAAACTTTCACTTCCTCTGCCATGCCAGCCACGTTTCAAGTGCCCTGCGGCCACACGTGGCGAGTGGCTATACTACTGGACAGCACAGATATAGCCCATGTCCATTACTGCAGGAAGTTCTAGCGGACAGTGCGGGTGCCCATGATGGCCCATCCTCCGGACCTTTGCGAAGGTTTCTTTACATTGCTCAGGTTTCAGCTCAAATGTTCCCTCCCTGAAGAGGCCTCCCACCCCACCAGCCACCCTAAGTCACAGTCCCACCATGCCCAGCCCTTGAGGGTCCCTGCCTGTCACCTCTTCGCCCTCCTTTAATTATCCACAGCCCTTCTCACTCCCCGACATCATTTGTCTAGTTGTTTACTGTCTGCCTCCCGCTGTTGGAATAGAGGTTCGTAACGGCTGGGTCTCTGGGTCTCATCAACTTTTGCATCCCCAGTGTCCAAAAAGTGCCTGTGAACATACTTAATAACTTACTTGCTGAATGATGGATGGATGAATGAATGAATGGAAGAAAAAACGCACACTCTGAGGCATAAATGCTCTGTATAAGTGCCAGAGCAGAGGCTCCACCCCGAAGGAGTTCTGTGTGTCTGCAGGGCCGCCCCACCTCTGGGGGCATCACCTCCGCCTCCTTCTCTTGCATGGCGGCCAGGGCAGGGAGGGGTCCCTAGGGCTGTAGGGCAGGGCACCCTTACCTCCGGCCAGGCGCGGGAAGGTGTGGAACCGGTCCAGGTTCTGGGCCACCTGCTTCCACAGGTGTTTGAAGGTGCTAAAACCAGAGAACAGGGCAGTGACTAGGGAGCCGGGCTCAGGCACCTGAGAGGGTGAGGGGCCTGGGGGGTATGGAGCAGGCCCTAGCAGAGGAAGAGGCTGGAAAGCCCAGGGAGGAGCGCTAGGGGCAGCAGCCCCGCAGGAGGCGGGCAGGGGTCACAGCGGTGGTGGTGATGGTGATGGGGAACCGAGTAGGTGGTAGCGGCTGGAAATGGGCTGCATTCCGGGCCTACAAGGAGGGAACAAGGGGAGGCCAGGCGGCCAGATAGTGCAGAGAAGGGCCAGGCTTTGAGGCCAGGGGATGCCGGGTTTGAGTCCTGACTCAGGCATACACGGTTGTGTGATCTCGCGACCATCGCTTAACCTCTGTGAGCCTCAAATTCTGTGCCACATCTGGGAACTGGAAAGAACAATTCCACCTGGCAGGGCTGTTTTGTGATGGCTCTAATGTGAGTCAAGTGCTTGGGACAGTGCTGGGTATGCTATGGGTGCCTGATGGGGGACAGGCACCACCATGGTCTGCGAGGGGCACCACGAGCTCATGCCCAGGCTCCAGAGAACCAAGGAGGGTCCTGGGAGAGGCAGCTCAGGCCCCTACCCCCTCCCTGGGCTCCAAGTGTGACCAACCTCAGCACCACAAAACAATAAAAATGCTAATCACCAGGGAGCTGGCGACACAGTAGCTAATACTAATTTATGACTTTCCTACCTTTAAGCCCGCTGCTCATCAGAGCATGGCAAATGGGGGCCAGGCCCGCTCCACCCGCTAATAGGCAGAGACCCATGGGGCCCGTGGCTGGCAGAGTGGGCCTTTTGGAAAACAGCCCTCCTCAGCAATTCTAACGCTGCCACCGCCACCCGGCAAAACTTAGCAAGGGCTGTTGTTGCAAGAGAGCCTGAGGCCAGGCAGAGAGGGCGAGAAGCCACCACAGGTGCCCCTAGGATACCTGGAAGGCCCGGAGTGCAGACCCCAACATCTCCACCCAGATGACCCACGGGAACCTCAAACTCAAAGTGACCAGCATATGATTCATCTTCCCTAGGCTCCCAGGTGCCCAGCCATCTGGGTTGCCCACCTTGGTGAACGATGCCCACCTCCTGCCCCGAGCCTGGATGTTCCCACTGAACCCCCCCAACCTTGACCCCACAGACAGGTGACCGAGTCTCCCTGACACTTCCTCCCTTGAATCAGCCCATCCCACCCCGTTCCCACGACTCCACCCGAGTTTAGGCGCCCACCATCCCTCCCCGGACGTGGACACCTCCTAACCTGTCTCCTGCTTCCACCCACCGGAGACTTGTGCTCAGAGTAGCCAGAGCGATCATCTAGATCAGAGGCTGCACAAGCAGGGGCCCGGAGGGGCCGGACAGAGAATGAGTGAGGCCGTCCAGGTAGGCAGAGGCCCAGGGCCTGTCAGGACGAGGGGAACCAGAGACCTCCCACCCGCCTCCAGCCAATGGTGCCACATGGAAATGCAGGCCCAGTGGGACCAGGTTCTTAAGAGAGGCCCAATATTTGGACTTTTACATGAAACTGTCCCAATGGTACAAGGTTGGTCCATCCCTATTAGGAGTCAAAGAACACAGAGCCACTTGCCAGGGCCAACTGGAGAGCTACCATCTGCAATCCCTGTTTGAAACAAAAGAAGTCTGATTAAGCCACGCCCCCTGCATGTAACTTTCTGTGGCTGCCATCATCTTCAGGATAAAGTCCAGACACCTTAGCAGGCTCATGGGGTCTTACAGTCACAAGACTAAATCCCCCAAGAGGTAGGACCTTGTCCACTCCACGTGTTCACTGCCCAGTCTTAGCACCGGCAGAGCCTGGTACACATGGGGGCTCGATCAACACCAGCTGAGTGAGTGAGTGAGTGAATGAGCAGCTGTGATCGAATCATGTCCTGCCCCCACCCTCTGACCCTCGGCCCCCAGCTCCACACTCCAGCCCCACAGGACCACGTCCACCACCCAGAGCCCAACAGCTTCAGCCTTATGCCTCTGCATATGCTGTTCCCCCTCCTAGAATGCTCTCCTCCACCTCTGCCTGGCCTACTCGTCTGCTTAGATGCCACCTCCTCCAGGAAGCCTTCCTGACTCTCCTCCTCCAGTTTATCCCAAGCTCCCTTGTGCCCTTTCCAGGGACAGTAGTGGCATCGAAATCCATATCACCAAACACCTGTAGGCCACTTCCGGCCTGTCACACTCCTTCCTGTCCATTAACTAGTTTGGCCTTCACGATTACTCTGCAAGGTAAGAATCATGACTACTGTCATAAAGGTGAAGAAACAGGCTCAGGGAGGTGAAGTGGCTCACCCAGGGCCACACAGCACCTGACGTCTGGGCTCACAGCCCCAGTTCCCAGACAGAGGTCACGAGGTCTGGTAAGCATCCCCAGGTCACCCTGCCCACCCCACCTCGAGGACTTACGGCACGCTGCCTGTGAAGTTGATGCCACACAGGTGCTCCGAGCTGGTGACAGTGTCCCCAAACGTGGGTCCGTCAGCTGGCACAAACTGGATGATGTTGGGGGGCAGACCAGCCTCCCGGAGGATGCGGTAGACGGCATAGCTGGCCAGCACGGCAGTGTCACTGGGCTTCCACAGGACCACGTTGCCCTGCCCAGGAGGCACGGTGATGACTCATGAGGTCAGGGGTCGCCAGCCCCGACTCCCAACCTACCCTGAAGCATGGCCATCCCTCACCTGGAGCCACCAGGACCCCATGCAGGCCAGGATATCCCCTACCCAGCCCCATTCCTACAGGTGCCCAGGTGCTGCACACCAGGCCCTAGAAGCCCTTGTCAGTGGGCTCACACCCTGCCCTGTCTGCTCCCACACTCTGGCTACGAAAGCCTCCCTTCCTCCAGGAGCCTGTGCCCACTGGTCCTGCCAGCTCCCCTCGGGCAAGTCTGTTCTGGGTGTTTCCAACTCGCTGGGTGCTCACGGGGCGAGGCTGGGCAAGTCCTCACAGGGCTCTGTCTGCACGTGTCCTGGACGAGGGCACGTGGGTGCCGGGTGTGTGCGCGTCTGTCTGAGTGCAGATGCACGAGGATAGCCCTGTGCACGAGCACCCTTCCAGATCACCCAGCTGCCTGACAGCTGTCAGCCCTCCTCCTGCTGTGCCCCGAGCCACCCAGGACCTCCGAGGGTAGGGCTGCATCTCCTCCATCGACTGGGAGCCGATGGCTACCTTCACCCTGATAACGACAGTGGAGCCCACCAACTTTGAGACCACCTGCCCAGAGACAGACCAAGCCCAAACCTGTACCCGTTCCATCATTTGCTAGCCTTGCAACCCTGACAAATAAGTCACCAGGCACAGAGCAAGCACTCAAAGGTGAGCTGTAAGTATCATCATTAGTAGCAGCCCCTATATAACGCTAAGCCTGCACTGGGCCAGACCTGCCTGGCGTTAAATGCATCACAAACATGGTCTCGTTTGCTCCTCATGACCCTGTAATGTAAGCTTTTCTTTTACTTCCACTTTGTAGATGAGGAAACTGCCTCAGAGGAGGGCGGGGACTTGCCTGGGGTCACCCAGACAGAGTGGGGCAAGGCTGGGACCCAGACCAGCCTCTGACCCCCAAGCCTTTTCCACAGCCCCCAGCTGCCTCCACTTTCTGTGCTCCTCCCCACGACGAGGGCTGGGACCCCAGGGGCTCTGACGTGGCCTCCTGTCTGTTGACAGGGGAGTGATGACCCGTTCCCGCCACGCCTGCCTACTGCCCACGGCTCACCATCAAGGCCGGCGCCCCTGCCAGGTTGCCGCCGATCGCAGTGAAGTTAAAGGGGGAGATGGCTGCCACGAAGCCCTGGGGAGGGAGGAGGTGGTGAGGCCAAGCCCAGGGCTTCCAGCAGCCCCCAACCCCCGCTCCACCACCTGGGGGTACCTCTAGCCCCCGGTACACCACGCTGTTGGTGCTGGGCGGCACACTGATGGGCTGCTCCCCCTCCAGCTCCACGGCAAACTTGGCGTTGAATCGGAAGAAGTCAGTGAGTTCGGCCGCGGCATCGATCTCTGCTTGGATCACCGTCTTCCCCTGTGGGGCGGGAGGGCCGGGGGGTCAGTGGTGGAGGACGTGCCTCCCAATAGACCTCTTCTGACACTGGACCCTGAGCCCATGGTGACACTGGGTTGCAGGTGCATTTAGGCCAAGAACCAGGAGACCTGAGGACTGTAAACATTTCCTTAGACTGTTCCTCCTGACGGCGAACGTGAGCCGTGGGGAAAGGACTCTGGGCAGCAAGAATCGGGCTTTCTCGGGTCGGGCGGCCGCTCCTTGGGTCACTGGCGGCTGCTAACCCTGCTCAGGACGCACAGCAGGGGAAGCTGAGCTAAGACGCACTGCCTCCTGCTCTGTGTGGCCACCATGCTTCCTACAAGCTCCTGAGTCTTAAGTCAAATAAAGAGGCACCTTCACCTGGTCTTGGAGTGCGTGCGCCTCTTCCTGCCCAGGTGTGGCTCACCTGGGACACTCTGGAGCCCGACACCCACCCCAGGGGCTCTGCTCAATCAGGAGACGCTTAGCCGGGTGTGGAGCTGTCGTACCAGCTCCATGCAGCAGAGGGCGCTCTCACTACGTGATGGCGGTGATGGCGAACAGGAAGAGCCCTGGGGTCACCCAAACCCCCTAAGGCGAAATTAACCCTCTCTCAACTGCTAATGCCACTCCCTGGCTCCACATGCATTCAACTCAAAAAACATCTATCAGGCACTTCAGTGACTCCAGGAAGACACGGTGCAAGACGCAGAAAGACAGAGAACGCTAGCATGTGATTACAATGCCCAAAAAACTTGTAAAGGGGAAACAAACACAAAGTGAGTCATTACACCCCGATGGAATCTGAGCTATAACCTACAGAGAAACAGCATGTTGGGGAAGCGGGGTGGGCACAGAGGTAGGACAGATCGTTATGGACTAAGAAGGTTCTAGAAGCCTCACAGAGGAGGCGCTATCTGGGCTAGACCTTGACAGTTAAGAGTTCATGAGGCAGAGAAGACAGGGAGCATTGCAGGCAGGGAACCCGGGGCAGAGGCAGGAAATGGGATGTTTGAGGTGTCCAGGAGCCTTGCTAGGTCCAGGCTGGTGACATCATGGGTGGGATGGCCTGGCAGGAAAGGGCAGAGCAGCTGGTGAGCTGGACAGAGGTGGGAATGGAAGGGCTCTGGGGGCTGGCTCAGGACTTGGGATGTAACCCTCAGCCAGAGGAGAGAGAAAGAGAGAGAGAGAGAGAGAGAGAGAGAGAGAGAGAGAGAGAGAGAGAGAGAGAGATCTCGGTGGTTCATAAGGCTAGAGTGACCTGCTGGAGGTGTCACAGAAACCGCTCTGAGGGCTGCAGAGGTCTGATGGAGGCTGGAGGACCGCGTGCGTAGGGCAACTGTCAGTCCAGGCAAAGCACGACAAGGGCCTGGCCCAGGGTGGGGACGGAAGTGGATGGGAGGGGCCATTTCCAGAGTAGGACACGCAAGCGTAGTTCAATCCACCTTGTCTACAAAGTATATAGGTCTGTCCCCTCTCTGAGGCCTGGTCCCTCAAGGACACCTCCTGGGCTCCCGCATGCAGGCAGGTCTGGGCACCCAGAAGCCGCTCAGCTGACGCCTGCTGAATTGGATGGGGTACGACTGCCTCCCCTACATCCCCGGTTGTGCCGGTGGGCATCTCACCTGTCCCACCATGGTCTTGGCCAGGACCTCTGCCCTGCGCGGCCCACTGAGCATATCTGCTGCCTTTAGGAAGATCTGGGCCCGGTCTGCAACAGGCTTCAGGTCCCACTCTTTC